TTTTATTTTCATAAGGTAGCGCTACACCCGTAAGGATTATACAGCGCCTGGGGGGGGGGGGAAATAGAAGGCATTCAGATTCAATTCAGGGAAGTGGAGCAAAAATCCAATTCCCTAGATCAAGAGCCACTCACCAGAGTCTATCTATTCCCACACACATTATGTATTTATAAACCCCAATACTGAGGTAAATATACGTGTCAGTAAATAAGTGAAGTTATACTAAAATACAAACTAAGACAATGTAGGATACAGGAACCTCGGAATGTAAATAATTTAAAAGAGTTTCCCGTAAAATTCCCAAAATTTACGGGATGAGGTTGTGAATTGTAGGCGAGCCTGGAGCCAGGCCTGACTTACTGCAGATTACACTGGGAAAAACCCTATGGTCGAATATCCCAGTGTTGTAGAGGATGAGGATGGGAGAGACATGGGCTTCTCTCTCTCTCTCTCTCTCTCTCTCTCTCTCCTCTCGCTAACAGTCTCTAACACACTCTCTAACACACTAGCTAACACTTGCTAACGCTTACTAACACTCTCGTTAACGCTCTCTCGTTAAAGCTTTCTCGTTAACCCTCAGTCAACTTAAGAACTAAAATACAACACTGTTTTAGAGTATATCACCTGAAGCACTAAACTCGTGTGTATCATTCAACGTATGTAGTGTTCGTGGTTACATCCCTCGTTTTCTTAACGTTCTGATTTCCGATCAAGCAGGCTGTTGATGATCGCAAATCTGTTTCAGAGAAAAATACAGCTTCCTATTATATACAGGTTGTTCAGAGTACACACGCTTTAGATCAACCCTTTAATGACTTAATAATGATCTACACAAACCGAAATATTCTCTCAGAACTTATGTCACCTGCAGGTTGGTCTGGGGGTTAGCGCACTGACCTGAAAATTTTAGGGCTCGTCTGTCATGGGATCGAACACCACCCATTCTGTGATTAGGTTCATGTGACTGATTATCACTCGTATTTATGCTACTGAAATAATATTTGGTATTCATTTAGAGTATTAATTATTTATCCAAATTGCTTTCCCCTTTTATGTACATAAACGACGTCTTCAGTATTTCACATTACATTATGGAAATAATATTGACCTATTTCCCTGTTATTTCTCATTAGTCATTTACAAATTTCATATTTACTGAGATACATATTTCTCGACGCACAGTACTACGAAGAAAGAGACTAATAAATCTTAGTGTATACAAGTTGAGAGATGTACATCTCTCAGTGCGTATGAGGAATTGAGACACTTATGCAGCATATGGGAATCTTTATTGAAGAAACGTTTCGCCATACAGTAGCTTCATCAGTCCAATACAAAGTAGAAATGGGTAAGGAGAGGAGTTTGAGGTAATCAGTCCCTCAGCCTGGAATCGATGTGTTCAGTCCATCACTCCTTACCCATTTCTACTTTGCATTAGACTGATGAAGCCACTGTGTGGCGAAACGTTTCTTCAATAAAGAATCCCATATGTTGCATAAGTGTTTCAATTCTTCAACTTGTCGGGTTTCAAAAAACCATTCATCACCCTCAGTGCGTATACACAGTTGTTAAGTAAGATACATGTGCAACAGTTAGGTATCTTTATTTCGAAACGTTTCGCCTACACAGTAGGCTTCTTCAGTCGAGTACAGAAAAGTTGATAGAAGCAGAAGAGACTTGAAGACGATGTAATCAGTCCATCACCCTTGAAGTTTTGAGGTGGTCAGTCCCTCAGTCTGGAGAAGAGTATTGTTCCATAGTCTGAAACAATATGGAGCTGAAGTGACAGGATGGAGCCTTATATACCGCCAGGTGGTGAGATTTAGGATAACAGTAGAGGTAAGAATGAAGCCGTTGGGAAGTCAGTTAGGTATCTTTAAAGATACCTAACTGTTGCACATGTGTCTTACCTAACAACCTGTCGGTATTTTATACCATTTTAATGTTCACTCTGTCAGACACTGCAACACGAGGGTATATTGGTACAGACCTGAAATCAACTTGGACAACTTCTACTAGTGAGAATGGCTGGATTTGAGAGGGACCTGATCTCCCAACGACTTCATTCTTACCTCTACTGTTAGCCTAAATCTCACCACCTGGCGGTATATAAGGCTCCATCCTGTCACTTCAGCTCCATATTGTTTCAGACTATGGAACAATACTCTTCTCCAGACTGAGGGACTGACCACCTCAAAACTTCAAGGGTGATGGACTGATTACATCGTCTTCAAGTCTCTTCTGCTTCTATCAACTTTTCTGTACTCGACTGAAGAAGCCTACTGTGTAGGTGAAACGTTTCGAAATAAAGATACCTAACTGTTGCACATGTGTCTTACCTAACAACCTGTCGGTATTTTATACCATTTTAATGTTCACTCCGTATACACAGTCTTTGGTCATGAACAACATGTGGGTCATTAACCCACATGTGGATCATAATTTTAAACCTAACAAACCATATACTAAGATTACGGTACATTCGTTACCACCAAACTACCATTAACACATATCCTTTCACCCTCAATCAGAGAAAAAAGCACTACAAAAACAATTCTCTTAAACTCGCATTGTAGCTAAAATTTAAAATGTCAGAAAACGCCTCATGCTGTCCCGAAGCTTCGATATTTGTGCGGACAAAATAAAGTAAGTTTTCTTAGTACGAGGCGTCGTCAGCACAGAATTGGTCTTGCTAGGTGTGTGGAGGCTTCCAGGTGATCCTTAGTGAAGTGGAACTCAAATTGTAGGAAAATCTCTCGTCGGGAGATTCTGACGATGATGATGCTGATAATGATGATATATTTTGGTGGTGGAGAGTAGGGGGTAGTAGAGGAACGCCGTGGTGATAGAGAGAATGAAAGAGAGAGAGAGAGAGAGAGAAAGAGAGCTTTTATATGGAGCAGCAGACGAGGGGTATGGGGTCTTACCTTGATGAGTCAGAGACACAGGACGATGCTTATTACTTCTCTCAAGTGTTAAATTTACGTTATACAGTTGTGTGTTTAGGTATTGTCTCTAATATTTTGTTTTCGTAATATCTAATATTGTGATTAGTTAATTTTGTGTAAATTTAGGTACTTGTTAGTTAGGAATTTGGTATTTAGGTAGTGTGTGTTATTTATGCATGTGTATTTAGGCACTGAGAGTAAAGTGTTATATATTTAGGTTTTGTCTTCATAGTTGTGTGAATAGTTTCACCATAAACTTATAAGATCCTTTACCTCATAGACTAGCGTGGTCCTTATTAAAGACGGTTAGCCACACCATAGACTGGCGTGGTCCTTATTAAAGATGGGTAGCCATACCATAGACTGGCGTGGTCCTTATTAAAGATGGTTAGCCACACCATAGACTGGCGTGGTCCTTATTAAAGATGGGTAGCCACACCATAGACTGGCGTGGTCCTTATTAAAGATGGTTAGCCACACCATAGACTGGCGTGGTCCTTATTAAAGATGGGTAGCCATACCATAGACTGGCGTGGTCCTTATTAAAGATGGGTAGCCATACCATAGACTGGCGTGGTCCTTATTAAAGATGGGTAGCCATACCATAGACTGGCGTGGTCCTTATTAAGATGGTTAGCCACACATAGACTGGCGTGGTCCTTATTAAAGATGGGTAGCCACACCATAGACTGGCGTGGTCCTTATTAAAGATGGTTAGCCACACCATAGACTGGCGTGGTCCTTATTAAAGATGGGTAGCCATACCATAGACTGGCGTGGTCCTTATAAAAGATGCGTAGCCATACCATAGACTGGCGTGGTCCTTATTAAAGATTGTTAGCCACACCATAGACTGGCGTGGTCCTTATTAAAGATGGGTAGCCATACCATAGACTGGCGTGGTCCTTATAAAAGATGCGTAGCCATACCATAGACTGGCGTGGTCCTTATTAAAGATGGGTAGCCATACCATAGACTGGCGTGGTCCTTATAAAAGATGCGTAGCCATACCATAGACTGGCGTGGTCCTTATTAAAGATTGTTAGCCACACCATAGACTGGCGTGGTCCTTATTAAAGATGGGTAGCCATACCATAGACTGGCGTGGTCCTTATAAAAGATGCGTAGCCATACCATAGACTGGCGTGGTCCTTATTAAAGATGGGTAGCCATACCATAGACTACTACTTACATACGTCAGCTTCCAAGGTCGTAAAATTCTCACCCATTATTAATAATGGGTAAAATTTTACGATTACATCTTAAGACAAACTAATTCCTTACATTTCAACTCGTTCCTTCACAGCATTTAACACACACACTTCAATAAACAGAAATGCAATAATGTAATTACGTTTAAATACCTCCAGATACACATGATGTACCGATTGTCTTCATACGGATTTGATCAGGAGAAATCTGGACTCGGCACCTGTGAGATTTAGGCATTTATTACCAGTCAGCTAGCAAAATGCGCGTTTATACAGTTATCGTTATTAATATATCAATATTATTCATAACTCCACAAATGCTTAAACCAATATAAGCAAATCAATGATAATAATGAATTTATTTTTTTCTGCAGTATACAGGTAATATAGTTGACATGTTAGGCACAAAATAAGCCACTAGCATGCATGATTTAACTTGTATTAAACTAGTTAAATGGCATCAGTCTGCGAGATAAGTCGTTTTGATCTTCTATTTCACGATAATGAACAATTGTTGTAACAGTTTTAATATATTTTAACTAAATGAAAATGAAATCTCAATTCGTAATTATACGTAGTTGCAATAATCTCTGGTAAAGCAAAGCCTACATATTTTATATATTAAGTTTATCATAGTACGTAAGTGGAGAATGATACATCTACTACGATAGATCTACTACGATAGATCTACTATGACAACTCGCAAAGAACATCTTGTGACAACTAGCATCTGATATTTTCGTCTAGGCTTCTGATGAATAAGATACACTTAGCTGGAGGGGGTGTTCCGAGGGTCAACACCCTCCCCCACAGCCCGGTCCATAACCAGGCCTCGAGAAATAAGGGAATATCGCGAAAGCAGTCCCCCCTGGTAACAAAAACATCGCACTCTAGTTAACCACATTTGGGTTAATCACGGGGGTGAGCACCACGGGAGTGCAATGGTGAGCCTCGCCCTGGGGAAAGCCACCTTCGTGATCCTGGCATTTTCTCTGCTAGGTAAGTATTTAGCTCCCTTTACTGCTGAAATGTTTGACCTGTGCAGCAGAGGTTTTCGGTCGATAACCCGAGTGTGATACATGAGTCGTAGTCACCAACTTGTCGGTATTGTATCCCATTAGCAATATCGTGCTACGACCAATAGTAACAGTGTGCTACGACCATTAGTAATGGCGTGCTACGACCAATAGTGTTGTGCTACGACCCTTAGTAACGTGCTACGACCACTAGTAATTGTATGCTACGACCAATAGTAATAGCATACTACAACCGTCAGTAATAGTGTGCTACAAAGCGTCTCTAAATTGCAGAGAGAAAGGATGTTAAAGTTCCTGGGTGAGCCATGCCCATATTAATTTCTGTAGGCAGTAACGAGGGCCTCACAACGCTTGAAGACACAGCAATTAGATGATTATCCTTTCTAATTTCCTCACAAGGCTGGCGGAAAGTAAAATAATCCTGGGAATTCCAGTAATCGGACTGGGCTTACTCCGTTTTCTCTACTCCCATCAACCTCCATTCCCTTAGAACTTCCTCCCATTAGCCGTTCCTTTAACATAATACACTGAAGTTTTTCATATAACGGCAATAAAAATAAAAAGCAAATTAATAAATATTTCTAACACGCTACTTTATTTCTCCACACTCCATCTTCTACCAGCTTCCTTCCTGTCTTTCCTTACAGTGTCATTTACTCTAAATCATCTTCTATCTCCAGTCCTCTTTTCCTACCTCTGTCCCCTTTGCTCCTTATCTCATCCCCGACCCTCCTTCCCCTCACTCATCCCCTAACTTCCCATCACTAACCACCATATATTCCCCTCACTCATCCCTTATCTTCCCCTGACTCACCCCTACCTTCCCCTGACTCATCCCCTATCTTCCCCTTCTTGGCCCATCAGTGCCTCTGCAAATGACACATAACAGAGCGTCGACCCCACCAGAGCTTGGAGCGACTCCATGCATAAATTTGCATACTGAACTGTGGCCACCAATGTTTCATGTTGAGTGGTGTTTGTTGTGCCCTTTCTGACACCATCTTGATATGTTGCATGTGAAGTGGCCTTTATTGTGCACTTTCTGACACCATCTTGATATGTTGCATGTGAAGTGGCCTTTATTGTGCACTTTCTGACACCATCTTGATATGTTGCATCTGAAGTGGCCTTTGTTGTGCACTTTCTGACACCATCTTGATATGTTGCATGTGAAGTGGCCTTTATTGTGCACTTTCTGACACCATCTTGATATGTTGCATGTGAAGTGGCCTTTATTGTGCACTTTCTGACACCATCTTGATATGTTGCATGTGAAGTGGCCTTTGTTGTGCACTTCCTGACACCATCTTGATATGTTCCATGTCGAGTGGCGTTAGTTGTGCCCTTTCTGACACCATCCAAATATATCTCTTATGTTAATCTGTTTATTTACTCCCCTCAATCTTCCTTCTGATTTATCTATCCTTCTATTGATAACAATCTTTCTCATACTCCTGCGCGCGTACGTGTATCTGTGTATGTTCCTTGATAATGTGAGAAATCAATAAAGCGCTTGGAAATTCACAATCTTTTTCACAGTGGTCATTTTGCGTATTGTGATATATATATATTATATATATATATATATATATATATATATATATATATATATATATTCATTTATGCTAATATAAAAATTAATAATTTTCTTCCCAAAGCACCTTAGAAAACTTACCTAACCTCATTATAAGTAGCGCAATTTAATTTCCCCTAGTCAAACTAAATATATTTTAGATAAGTTTACAGTTATTTAGTAATAAACAAACTCAAAGGAATATATTTTTATCGTTAGGTTCAGAATTATTTTGTCAAATTATGCATACACAAATTTTCAGTTGCCTTATTCGGCAAGAAGAGCGTTGCTATTTAAGCCAAAATCGCAAGTTTTACCTATTCTGCACTCGCACACACGCTCACACACACACACACACACACACACACACACACACACACAATATATATATCAATAACAACACTGCGACTAGCCAAGGACTCGAACCCATGCTGCTTTGGCCTGCCTCATGGTGGGCGGAAACTCATGACGCCACTGGACCATACATTCCTTAAGAGTAGCGCATCCAATGGTACTGGATGTTGTACTCGCTACCCAAGGACATACGATGGTGTGGATGACTCTAGGCTAATTTCATTCTAGTCCCTGTTTGTATATGCAATAAGATCACAGTAAACAGGTGATTTCAGAATATGCAAAGCATCCACTGTGAAAGAATAGTGAAATTCCAAGCGCTTCGAAAGCGCTTGGAGTTTCACTATTCTTTGACAGTAGTTGTTTTGCGCATACACACACACACACACACACACACACACACACACACACACACACACACACATAGAAGAGAGGAGCTTACGACGACGTTTCGGTCCGACTTGAACCATTTACAAAGTCACACTAAAGAAAAGGAGGGCAGGATGGGTATATATAGGCAGGAGGTGGTAGAGGTAGTAGTAGTAGTGGAGGAAAGGATGTAGTAGTGGGGAGGTAGTAAGAGTAGGAGGGACCAGTCAAATACTAAGAAAGAGGAGCACTGCAAGGGAGCTGCTGCCCACAGAGAGTAAGAGCAAGAACACCAAGGGGTGAAAATAAATAAATAAATAAATACATAGATAGATGGGCTAATGAGAGCTTAGGGAATGGGGTTGAAGAGGTATGGGGTAGGTTTAAAAATGTAGTGTTAGAGTGTTCAGCAGAAGTTTGTGGTTACAGGAAAGTGGGTGCAGGAGGGAAGAGGAGCGATTGGTGGAATGATGATGTAAAGAGAGTAGTAAGGGAGAAAAAGTTAGCATATGAGAAGTTTTTACAAAGTAGAAGTGATGCAAGGAGGGAAGAGTATATGGAGAAAAAGAGAAAGGTTAAGAGAGTGGTGAAGCAATGTAAAAAGAGAGCAAATGAGAGAGTGGGTGAGACGTTATCAACAAATTTTGTTGAAAATAAGAAAAAGTTTTGGAGTGAGATTAACAAGTTAAGGAAGCCTAGCGAACAAATGGATTTGTCAGTAAAAAATAGGAGAGGAGAGTTATTAAATGGAGAGTTAGAGGTATTGGGAAGATGGAGGGAATATTTTGAGGAATTGTTAAATGCTGATGAAGATAGGAAGTTTGTGATTTCGTGTATAGGGCAAGGAGGAATAACATCTTGTAGGAGTGAGGAAGAGCCAGTTGTGAGTGTCGGGGAAGTTCGTGAGGCAGTAGGTAAAATGAAAGGGGGTAAGGCAGCCGGGATTGATGGGATAAAGATAGAAATGTTAAAAGCAGGTGGAGGTATAGTTTTGGAGTGGTTGGTGCAATTATTTAATAAATGCATGGAAGAGGGTAAGGTACCTAGGGATTGGCAGAGAGCATGCATAGTTCCTTTGTATAAAGGCAAAGGAGACAAAAGAGAGTGCAAAAGTTATAGGGGGATAAGTCTGTTGAGTACACCTGGCAAAGTGTATGGTAGAGTTATTATTGAAAGAATTAAGAGTAAGACGGAGAATAGGATAGCAGATGAACAAGGAGGCTTTAGGAAAGGTAGGGGGTGTGTGGACCAAGTGTTTACAGTGAAACATATAAGTGAACAGTATTTAGATAAGGCTAAAGAGGTCTTTGTGGCATTTATGGATTTGGAAGAGGCGTATGACAGGGTGGATAGGGGGGGCAATGTGGCAGATGTTGCAGGTGTATGGTGTAGGAGGTAGGTTACTGAAAGCAGTGAAGAGTTTTTATGAGGGTAGTGAGGCTCAAGTTAGAGTATGTAGGAAAGAGGGAAATTATTTCCCAGTAAAAGTAGGCCTTAGACAAGGATGTGTGATGTCACCTTGGTTGTTTAATATATTTATAGATGGGGTTGTAAGAGAAGTAAATGCGAGGGTCTTGGTAAGAGCCGTGGAGTTAAAAGATAAAGAATCATACACAAAGTGGGAGTTGTCACAGTTGCTCTTTGCTGATGACACTGTGCTCTTGGGAGATTCTGAAGAGAAGTTGCAGAGATTGGTGGATGAATTTGGTAGGGTGTGCAAAAGAAGAAAATTAAAAGTGAATACAGGAAAGAGTAAGGTTATGAGGATAACAAAAAGATTAGGTGATGAAAGACTGGATATCAGACTGGAGGGGGAGAGTATGGAGGAGGTTAATGTATTCAGATATTTGGGAGTGGACGTGTCAGCGGATGGGTCTATGAAAGATGAGGTGAATCAAAGAATTGATGAGGGGAAAAGGGTGAGTGGTGCACTTAGGAGTCTGTGGAGACAAAGAACTTTGTCCTTGGAGGCAAAGAGGGGAATGTATGAGAGTATAGTTTTACCAACGCTCGTATATGGGTGTGAAACATGGGCGATGAATGTTACAGCGAGGAGAAGGCTGGAGGCAGTGGAGATGTCATGTCTGAGGGCAATGTGTGGTGGGAATATAATGCAGAGAATTCATAGTTTGGAAGTTAGGAGGAGGTGCGGGATTACCAAAACAGTTGTCCAGAGGGCTGAGGAAGGGTTGTTGAGGTGGTTCGGACATGTAGAGAGAATGGAGCGAAACAGAATAACTTCAAGAGTGTATCAGTCTGTAGTGGAAGGAAGGCAGGGTAGGGGTCGGCCTAGGAAAGTTTGGAGGGAGGGGTTAAAGGAGGTTTTGTGTTCGAGGGGCTTGGACTTCCAGCATGCATGCGTGAGCGTGTTTGATAGGAGTGAATGGAGACAAATGGTTTTTAATACTTGACGTGCTGTTGGAGTGTGAGCAAAGTAACATTTATGAAGGGGTTCAGGGAAACCGGGAGGCCGGACTTGAGTCCTGGAGATGGGAAGTACAGTGCCTGCACTCTGAAGGAGGGGTGTTAATGTTGCAGTTTAAAAACTGTAGTGTAAAGCACCCTTCTGGCAAGACAGTGATGGAGTGAATGATGGTGAAAGTTTTTCTTTTTCGGGCCACCCTGCCTTGGTGGGAATCGGCCAGTGTGATAAAAAAAATAAATACATACATAA